AGAAGTGTTCTGTCACCATATGTTTGACCCCCCTTTCCCTCTGGTAACCACCATACTGTTGTCTGTGTCTATGAGTTTTTGTTTGTCTTGTGTGTTTGTTGCGTTCAGTTCTATATTCCACACATGATTGAAATCATTTTTTTTTTTTTTTACTTTTTCTGACTTATTTCACGTAGCATGATATTCTCAAGATCCGTCCATGTTGTCGCAAATGGCAGTATTTCATCTTTCTTTTTAAACTTTTTTTTTCTTTATTTATTTTAGAGAGAGAGGGAGAGAGAAAGAGAGAAACATCAATGAGAGAGAACATCGATTGGCCATCTCCTGCATGCCTCTCACTGGGGATCGGACCTGCAACCTGAACATATACCCTGACTGGGAATTGAACCGGCGACCTCTTGGTGCATGGGTCAATGCTCAACCACACTAGCCGGGCTCATTTTTTCTAATAGCTGAGTAGTGTTCTATTGTATGTATGTACCACATCTTTTTTATTCAGTCATCTGTCAGAGGACAGTTCTGTTGTTTCCATGCCTTGGCCATCATTTATAATGCTGCAGTGAACATAGGGATACATGTATTCCATTGTATATGTGTACCACTTTTTTTTTTTTTTTTAATCCTCACCCAAGGATATTTTTCTATTTATCTTCAGATAGAGTGGGAGGGAGAGAGAGGGAAAGAAAGAGAGAGAGAAAAACATCAACATGAGAGGGACACATCAACTGGTTGTCTCATGCACAACCCCAACCAGGGCCGGGGATGAACTGTAACCAAGATACATGCCCTTGACTGGAATTGAACCCGCAACTCATTGGTCCACGGGCTGATGCTCTACTGCTGAGCCAAACCGGCCAGGGCTACCACATCTTTTTTATCCAAACATCTGTTGAAGGACATTTCGATTGTTTCTATCTTCTTAAGGGCCCTAGGGTTTTAGAAATGGTAAGAGAGCACTGGCTTCAACTTAAATTCACTAACTGCATTTGTCCCTAACAAAAGACGTAGCCTGTTCTTTGAAGTTTTGAAGCCAGGCATTGACTTCTCTCTAGCTAAAAGTCCTAAATGGCATCTTCTTTCAATAAGACTTTCTCTCTACATTAAAAATTGGTTGTTTAGTGTAGCCACTTTCATTACCTTAGCCATCTCTTCTGCATAACTTGCTGCAGCTTCTGTATCACCGTTTGCTATTTCACCTTGTATTTTTATTTTAAGGAGATGACTTTTCTTAAACCTCATGACCCAACCTCTACTAGCTTCACATTTTTTTTTCTGTACTTCCTCCCCTCTCTCAGCCTTCACAGAATTGAAGAGAGTTAGGTCCCTGCTCTGGGTTAGACTTTGGCTTACAGGAATGTTGTTGCTGCCTTTGTCTTCTATCCAGACCACTAGAACTTACGATATCAGCAAAACTTATGAGACAGGAGAACCACTGGTTAGTGGAGCACTCAGAACACACACATTTGTCAAGTGAGTTTGCCTTTTGTGGGCACAGTTCGTGGTGCCCAAAACAATTACAATAGTAACATCAAAGATCACTGATTACGATCACCATAACAAATGTAATAATGAAAAAGTTTAAAATCTTGTGAGAATTACCTAAATGTGACCCAGAGACACAAAGTGAAGAAATACGACTGGGAAAAAAAGACACTAATCGACTTCCTTGACACAGAGTTGCCACAAACTTTCAATTTGTAAAATGCGCAATAAAGGTGAAGTGCAATAAACTGAGGTATACCTGTAATTTGTCTTCAAATGTTGACATCTGAGTCTTAGGCTGTATAATTGTGCTAGCTTCTTAGAGAGTAAAATCTATTTTGCATCCTGGCTAATATGTTCACCTACTATAAACATTACTGCCTGTGATAAAAGCTAGAATAAAAAAAATTTTTTTATGTGTGTCATAGCTGGCAGAGACTCTTGGGACCACCACAAATCATTCCTGTCTTTTGGAACTTGCTGACAAAAAGCATGGAAATGTAGCCCTGGCTGGTGTGGCTCAGTGGGTTGGGTGTCGTCCTGTGCACTGAAAAATTGCCTGTTCAATTCCCAGTCAGGGAACATGCCCAGTTTCTGGCTAGATCCCTGGCTGGGAACATGCAGGAGACAACCTATTGATACTGTACTCTCACACTGATGTTTTACTCTCTCCCTCTCCCTCTCTCTCTAAAAGCATGGAAATGTAAAAGCAGCCTGGTCTGATACAGGTTGACATTGAAAAAAATATTAGCTCATTTAGACCACTGTTCATTCTATTGTTGTTACTGTTGTTTTTTAAGATGCTGAGTATTCAACAAGCTCTTCTAATTAATGTATTTTTTGAGCTTAGTAACCTCTCCTTTCACTGGGAACCAGTTCTTCTTCTACAAGCCATCTCTGGCTCCTTTTTTGTTAAAGATTAATAATGAGAATAACGAAGCAAATGGTTATTTATGCAGTCATGATTGACAAAGGTTATTAGAACAAGAATCTGCCCAGAAGCAGTGATTAGGTTATGAAAATGTTACGGAATACTGAAACCAATCACCATTTTTGACATTTAAGAAATACTATTCCCACTTTAATCATGATGATCTGTTGTAAAAGTATTTATACATAATAATCTCATTGGACAGTAATTTTTATACCAATAGCATACATAATTAAGTGTAAGGGTGAGATTCAGAAATGATCTGAGAGAAAAATCGGCCTTGGGAGGAAATTGCCACAATGAGAAGTGAGGAACAGAAATTCTTGAATAGAAGTGTCTGTCTCCCAGACACCTGATCTACACAGTTAGGTGACCTTTTCCATTTATTATCTTCATCCTGAGCACTTTGCAAGTTTGAGGAGCTGTCGGAGAGGGTAACCCAGTTTGGTTGCTATGTTTTTCATATTAGACTGTAAAAAATGTAAGGAAGTATATTGACAAAATGTTCTCATAATGGTTTTATTATTGAAACACCGACTTAAATAACATTATGCAAAACCAACCAAACAAGACAAAAATCTAATTATATCCCTTTATGTTTAATATAGTCAGAACTTTGTGCACTAGGTAGTAATTATTTTTTACCCAAACAGTACTATCACTTCTGCCCTGCATTTGTTTTTTGTGGGTTTGTTTGTTTTGCTAACAGCTTTATTGAGATATAATTCACATATAAAATTATTCCCCCTTTTTGAAATATATGATTCAGTGGTTTTGAGTATATTCCTAAAGACAACATCTACTTTCAAAGCATGTTTATAACCTCTCGCATAACACCCGTAACCATTAGCAGTTGCTTCCTGTTTCCCTCCCCAGACCCTCACAACCACAAATGCACTTTTTGTCTGTATGGATTTGCCTGTCCTGAACATTTATTTTTTCTTCCCTTCAGCTTTTCTCATATAATAGATACTTAAGGAAATTCGAGAATAGGAAGTAGACATGGTTAAATGTAACTCTTATTGTGATCTGGTATAAGTACTATTTTTTCCTGTAGCTCATTGGAAGAGGTATTTCAAACAAAAAGAATAGCAACAGCTTCATATAAATGAAATCGTATAATATGTAGCATTTTGGGTCTTGCTTCTTTAGCATAATGTAGTCAAAGTTCATTCATATAGTTGCATGTAGCAATACTTTGTTTCTTTTTATGGCTGAATAATACTCCATTGTATAGATATACCACATTTTGTTTATCTATTTATCACTTGGTGGACATTTAGGTGTTTTCATTTTTTTACTGTTATAAATAATGCTGCTCTGAATATGCACATGAAAGGTTTTACCTGGGCATTTATATTTTCAGTTCTCTTGGGTATATACCTAGAAGTGGAATTGCTGGATGGTATGGTAACTCTATGTGTAACTTTTTCAGGCACTACTAAATTACTTTCCAAAGCAGCAGCTCCATTTTATTTTCCCATCAGCTATGTAGGAGGGTTCTTATTTTTCCATATTCTTGTCAGTGTGTATTATTGTCAGTCTTTTTTATTACAGTCATCCAAGTAGTTGCAAAGTAGTATGTCATTGTGGTTTTGATTTGCATTTCCCATGTGGCTAATGATGTCGAACCTCTTTTCCTCTTTTCCTGTGCTGCTTGGCCATTTGTATATTTTCTTTTGGGAAATGTCTATTCAAGTCCTTTGTCCATTTTTAATTAAGTTAATAGTTTTTTTACAGTTGACTCATGTAAGGTCTTCTTATATTCCGGATACCAGTCCCCACTTATATATATGATTTGCAGATATTTTCTCCCATTCTGGAGGTTTTTTAATTTCTCCCTTTGAAGCACACACCTTTTAATTTTGAAGTCCAATGTGTTTGTTTATTATTTGGTTGCTGTTTTTTAAGTAATCATCATATAATCCAAGATAACAAAGATTTACTTTTATGAGTTTTATAGTTTTAGCTCTTACATTTAGGTCAGTGATCCATTTTCAGGTAGTATTATATATGCTGTGAGGAAAGAGTCCAACCTCATTTTTTTTTTTTTTTTATCCTCACCCGAGGACATTTTTCCATTTTTTGCACAGACAGAGTGGGAGGAAGAGAGAGGAAGAGAGAGAGAGAGAGAGAAACATCGACGTGAAAGGGACACATCGAGTGGTTGCCCCCTGCACAACCAACCAGGGCCGGGGACAAACTGCAACCGAGGTACATGCCCTTAGCGGGAACCGAACCCGGGTCTCTCTGGACCGCAGGCCAATGCTCTAACTGCTGAGCCAAACCGGCCAGGGCACCGATCTCATTTTTTGAGCATGTTCCTGCATTTGTTTTTATTTATTCAAATTTAAATGTTTAGAGAGAAATGTCTCTTCAGATGGGATACCCAGTGCAATTATTCATGAATTATTATTTCATTTTGTGGGGAGCAAATGCATTTACTGTGTTCATCCGCACTCTCACCAAATATGGTTGCATGTCTGTCTCTGTTCTGCTTATTGGAATCTGAAAAGTAGGACTCATGGATGCACTTTGAATCCATTTATTAGGTTTTTTCCCTTAATTTGCGATCTCACCTCTTCAGCTACAGTATAGAGAATGCCAAGAACTTCTAAGCCTCTATCAGAAATATCTATCAGAACAGCAAGAGAAGCTCGCTATGTCTGTCTCAGAACTAGATGCTGCTAGAATTCAGGAACAACAGGTAAGCATCTTGATTCTTACCTTTTTTTTTTGTCTTTAATGGATCAGCAAGATGTCAGAAGAATTGTTTGCCTTTGACTTTGTCTCACAGTGTACACAGGGTGGGCAAAAGTAGGTTTACAGTTGTTCATATGGGAAGTTATACAATAATAAATAATAATGCACAAATAAACTTTGTTTTGGGTACTTACAACTGTAAACCTACTTTTGCCCCACTCTGTAATAGTGTCCTGTTCCTGGGGCTCAGAGGTCAGCAATGATTGCGTGAAGCAGGCTGGGGCCAGTGGGGCAGCTCCTGGTTGTGGGAAAGCACAGCAGGACTGGTAAAGCAAACTCACTGCTCTTTGCCTGATGAAGACCAGGTGGGCTGTTGGTTACTCATTATCCTTATGGAAAACACTAGTAAGTCTTTCTTAACTCATGCTTATGTTTTTAGAATAATAAAAGTGACTTGGTAACTTACAAAAGCTTTAATTGGATAAAATTAAAATATTTTGCATGATTTTATGTTTGTGTATATATGTATTAATCACATAAATACATATGAGAGTGTTTATAGGTAAACATTTACATAAATATCATCAAATGGTATATCTTATATAATTAAATGAAGGTTCAGAACTTGCCAGTTGTGATATAAAACCAGCTTTAAAGATTTACTTCTTTGCCTGGCTGGTTTGGCTTAGCGGTTAGAGCATCGGCTCGTGGACCAATGAGTCACAGGTTCAGTTCCGGTCAAGGGCACTGTACCTCAGTTGCTGTTTATCCCCAGCCCTGGTAAGGTTGTGCGGGAGGCAACCAGATGATGTCCCTTTCTCACATCAATGTTTTTCTCTCTCCCTCTCTCTGTTTGTCCCTCCCTCCCACTCTATCCGATGATAAACGGAAAAATGTCCTCCTGTGAAGATTAAAAAAAGATTTACTTCTTGCCCTCTAGAAAGTGATACTTGATTTCATTTTCATATTTATATGAGTTTAATTCTTCAAATGGGTGGAAATAAGCCTTACATATTAAAACATTTTAGAAAAAAACTGCTGTAGAGTCATAGTCACTCATATTAAGTATTAAAGCATGGGTAATGTACTCTATTATCCTCCCCCTTTGAATGAGAATCAGGTCCTGAATGGTTTTTGGCAACCCTTCCAAAGAACACCATTGCTGTTCAACCTGGAGACAACTGTCTCAGGTAGGTTAAGAGTTTTGGCCAAGAAAACAGTTTTGAACCTGAAGTTTGGACATGTGGAAAAAGTTATTTTTAAAAAGAAATAATAATTTTGCTGGAATGTAGTAAAACTTAGATTTTTAAAATATGCTTTTCTTTTGAAGTCACAACATTTATTAAAAATGGACAAAGTATGAATGGTTTCTTTGTATTCTAATTCGAAATATTTTCTTTTGATCTGTTTTCTGAAAACCTAGGCTATAAAATGATGTAGAGGAACAGTTAACCTCGATTGTTTATCTGGATTTTTTTTCCCACCACTTTGAAAATGGCAGACAGTTTTTAAGGTGGTCATTGCCTATTGCTCTCTTGGGTGGGCTAGAGAAAAGTGTAGCATGATCAGATTTTTGACCTTTTTTTTTGTGTGTGTATATTTTCACTCCCTTCCTTTGTATGACGTAGGTGTGTTAGAGGGCACAAAAATGAAGGGCAGCCCATTGTGAAGGGTCTGTGAGGGGAGGCAGAGGGGCCTCTCAGTGGCCAGTATGGAGTTATGACCTTAAGGATATAGACAGAGAGTCAAAAAATCGTCACTAAGGGGCCCTGGCCGGTTTGGCTCAGCGGTTAGAGCGTCGGCCTGCGGTCCGGAGAGACCCGGGTTTGGTTCCCACTAAGGGCACATACCTCGGTTGCAGTTTGTCCCTGGCCCTGGTTGGTCGTGCGGGTGGCAGCCACTCGATGTGTCCCTTTCACATCAATGTTTCTCTCTCTCTCTCTCTCTCTCTCCCTCCTGCTCTATCTGAACAAAGAATGAAAAAGTGTCCTCGGGTGAGGATAAAAAAAAAAAAAAAAAATCGTCACTAGGGGGTTCTAAAGACATCTAGATAAAGAGGCCTAACCATTTTTTTATCTACTTCTGAAATGGGGGAAAAGAAAACGTTCTCAGGCATTAGTGTTTTAAGCTAGTGAATCTTGGAGGTTTCACTAGAGACCAACCATAATTAACACTGCCTTCCTTAACCTTAATGTTGAGGGGCAAAACTAAAAAAAATCACAAATACTAGAATGAAAATGTTAGCTAGGTATATGGAGGCAATAGTATATCCTCAAAAAGAGATAATTTTGAATTTTTATTTATACTTAATGATGAGAAAATTTTAAAACCATATTTTCAAGAAGTACCTGGTGGTCAAGTTTTAAATTGTGTCTTATGTACAAAGAAAATGAAATTGGGAGTTAAAGCTTTCTTGTATGCTCTGCCACTTGAACCTAGGGAAGGTAGTCATTATGACTACCAGGAGGAGATTGTCACCTTGTTTCCTATGCTATCTGATTTGTTCTTTGTGACAAGTTTCTCTTCCCTGAGCAAAGGTAGACGTCTTCTCTTCTTTCCTTTGGGAATTGGGTAAATTTGGCCAAGTCTAATTCTGATTAGGGAAGGGCATCATTTCGAAGACTCAGCCTAAGTGAGGATGTAATTCAGTTAAATACCCTCTTTATGTGCTTGCCACTGTGCTCATCTCTGTCATAGCATTTTTCTTGTTCTTTTATAATGATTGTTTATTCATCCACCTCCTCATCCTAATATATTGGTCTTTGTACACTCAGGGTCTAATGTAGGGGTTGACTCAAAATTATTTTAAAAATAAAAATTAGCCATGGCTGGTTTGGCTCAGCGTTTAGAGCGCTGGCCTGCAGACCAGAGAGCCCTGGGTTCGGTTCCCCCTAGGGGCACGTACCTTGGTTGCAGTTTGTCCGCGGCCCTGGTTGGGGTCCTGTGGTTGGCACCCACTCAATGTGTCTCTCTCACATCAATGTTTCTCTTTCTTCCTTTCTCTCTCCCTCCTGCTCTATTCGAGGTTGAATAGAATGTCCTTGGGTGAGGATAAAATAAATAAAATAACAATTATATAAATAAAAATTAAAAATAAAATAAATAATTTATTTATATAAGAAGTATATAAATAATATAATAAAAGGTATATAAAAATATAATAAAATTAGAATTATATAAATAATTTTATAAAAATAAAAATTATATAAATAATTTATTTTTCTATTTTTTTAGCCTTTGTCCATCACTATTTATACCCTCCCTCCATCTCCCTCCACCTAGCAGTCACCACACTGTAGTCCATGTGCACGAGTTTTTTTCTCTTTTGTTTTTTGCTCAATCCCTCCTCCCTCCATCCTCACCCAAAGAAACCTGAAACACTGTTTCAAAAGAATATATGCATCCCTATGTTTATTCATCATTATTTACAATACCCAAGATTTGGAAGCAACCCAAGTGTCCATCAGTAAAGGAGTGAATAAATATATTTTTAAAAGTTTTTGTAACAAATGTTCATATGGTACATACTATGTGCCAGGTACAGTTCTACACTCTTAACATATATTAAGTCATTTAGTTCTCAGAATAACCCGGCGAGGTTGTCAGCCCGTGTTATAGAGGAGGGACCAGGCAGATGAGTGGCTTACCCAGGTCCTGCAGCCAGAAAGTCCGGCTCCACAGTTTTTTTGAAGAAGGAAAAACGAGATAATTTTTTAAATTTTTGCTTTAGATGTCCTTGTTTCTATGACTAACTCTCATTGGCTCTTTATCTGACATACAGTTTTTTGAGTACCAGAGCACAAATATAATAGAGATGGTGGAAAACTATTTGCTTTTTCTGTGAGTAGCCACAATGTCAGGTAAACATAAAATTTTATTTGCTCTCAAAATAAGTCTAAAAAAAAACACCTCATCTCCAGATGTTGTGATGGAGATGGCAGCAGTTCATTCTTCATAAGACATTCATTTAACTTTGAGAGACTTGCTCTGTTTCTTCTTTGCATTGGTTGCCATATGGTTCAAATTGCATATTATAGGTTTTGCTTATAGTCTTATTAAATCCAGTTCTTCAGAAGAATGCCCTGGTTTATGGTTTTCTTTTTCAACTTCTGCCATTTCTTTGAAAAGAAATTGCTCCATTTACAGGGTGATTTTCCCCCTTGTATTTCCCCCATTCTCTTTCTTGCTTTGCCTCAAAGATAAATGCATTTTACATTCATTTTGGAATTCTGTACAAGATTTTCATGGTGGATTCTATAAAGGTTTTTTACTTGTTCTGGTTAGATTGAGATATTTTGCTGATGTGTATCTGTTACCATTTCCTTATCTTAAGAAACACTCCTTAGTAGAGTCTTATTCTTGGACATGAGAGGATCTAGTAACCATAGTTTTGGCCAGTGCACGTTTTAGAAAATAGATTTTCTTATCATAATTGAATGTTATTTCTTTTTTTGTGAATCTGAACTTAATGTCACCTCAAACTATGGTGCTTAGAATTTCTATTTCAGTCTTATTTGATAGGCTGTACTGTTTTCAAAATGTTATAGTTTTCCTCCGTACTCCTTGTATCAAGATAAAGCCTAGGCAACACCTGAGTAGATGCTCCCACTATATTTCTAAAATCTTGGTATTCAGGCCTAACTTACAATTTTTCTTAGCTCTTTGTGTGCTTGTTTGTTTGTTTGGTAAGTAAATGTACAAGGGTAGATTTGAAATCTTGAGATTTCTCCCGTTTCTATAAAATGGATAAAATCAATATCACTTTTAAGCCATGGGCAATAGATATTAATGAATATCTGCTGTTCTGATCTGGCCATCACATTCCCTTTTATTAGTATTATTTCTCTCTGGAACCTTGCTAAACATTTTCTGTTGCTGCTCATTTTTTTTCTCTTTTTCCCTTTCATTCTTTTTTGGCTTCTTATTTCCCTCCAAGTCTCTAGAAGCTTTTCAAGTTCTAATTCCTCCCTCTGGCTTTTCTTTCTAACATTCTCTCTGTCCTTC